TCAATAACACACTTCATTCACTATTCATTTTTCTAGTCTGCTTCAACAGGAAACAGATAATTAAGAAAGGATTTGAAACTTCCCTGGTGTTCCAGTGGTTAAGAACCCACCTTACAATGCAGGGGGCAAGGGTTTGACCCCTGGTCTGGGAACTAAAATCCCACATGCCACTTGCAGAACCATGGATGGACCCAGAGATCGTCATACAAAGTGAAATAAGTCAGAAAGAGAAAAGCAAATATTGTATAACATTGTTTACATGTGGATTCAAGAAAAATGGTACAGATGGCTTATTGGCAAAGCAGAAATAGAGTCACAGATATAGAGAACAAACTTACGATTACCAAGAGGGAAGGGTGGGTGAGATGAACTGGGAGATTGGGATCGATATTCTGATAGAGTGCCTGAAGAAATATGGACAGAGGTTTGTAATATTGTACAGGAAGTGGTGATCAAAACCATTTCCAAAAAGAAGAAATGCAAAAAGGCAAAATGCTTGTCTGATGAAACCTTACAAATATATTAGAAAAGAAGAGAAGCGAAAGGCAAGGAGAAAAAGAAAGATATACCCATCTGAATGCAGAGTTCCAAAGAATAGCAAGGAGAGAAGAGAAAGCCTTCCTAAGTGATCAATTCAAAGAAATAGAGGAAAACAATAGAATGGGAAAGACAGAGATCTTTTCAAGAAAATTAGAGATACCAAGGGAACATTTCATGCAAAGATGGGCACAATAAAAGACAAATGGTATGGACCTAACAGAAGCAGAAGATATCAAGAAGTGGCAAGAATATACAGAAGAACGATACAAAAAAGATCTTCATGACCCAGATAACCACGAAGGTGTGGTCACTCACCTAGAGCCAGACATCCTGGAGTGTGACGTCAAGTGGGCCTAAGAAGCACCACTACAAACAAAGCTAGTAGAAGTGATGGAATTTCAGCTGAGCTGTTTCAAATCCTAAAAGATGATGCTGTGAATGTGCTGCAGTCAATATGCCAGCAAGTTTGGAAAATTCAGCAGTGGCCACAGGACTGGAAAATGTCAGTTTTCATTCCAAACTCAAAGAAAGGCAATGCCAAAGAATGTTCAAACTACCACAGAACTGCACTTATTTCACACACTAGCAAGTAATGCTCAAAATTCTCCAAGTTAGGCTTCAACAGTATGTGAACCGAGAACTTCCAGATGTTCCAGTTGGATTTAGAAAAGGCAGAGGAACCAGAGATCAACTTGCCAACATCTGATGGATCACAGGAAAAAACAAGAGAATTCCAGAAAAACATCTACTTCTGCTTCACTGACTATGCTAAAGCCTTTGACTGTGTGGATCAAAACAAATTGTGGAAAATTCTGAAAGAGATGGGAATACCAGACCAACTTACCTGCCTCCTGAGAAACCAGTATGCAGGTCAAGAAGCAACAGTTAGAACCGAACATGGAACAACAGACTGGTTCCAAATTGGGAAAGGAGTACGTCAAGGCTGAATATTGTAACCCTGCTTATTTAACTTCTATGCAGAGTACATCATGTGAAATGCCAGGCTGGATGAATCCCAAGCTGGAATCAAGATTGCCAGGAGAAATATCAGTAATCTCAGACATGCAGATTATACCACCCTTATGCCAGAAAGCAAAGAGGAAGTAAAGAGCCTCTTGAAGGTGAAAGAGGACAATGAAAAAGCTTGCTTAAAACTCAACATTCAAAAAACTAAGATGATTGCATCTGGTCCCATCACTTCATGGCAAATAGATGGGGAAACAATGGAAACAGTGACAGACTTTATTTTCTAGGTCTCCAAAATCACTGCAGATGGTGACTGCAGCCATGAAATTAAAAGACACTTGCTCCTTGGAAGAAAAGCTATGACCAACCTAGACAGCGTATTAAAAAGCAGAGACATCAGTTTGCCAACAAAGGTCCATATAGTCAAAGCTATGGTTTTTCCAGTAGTCATGTATGGATGTGAGAGCTGGATCATAAAGAAGGCTGAGTGCCAAAGAATTGATGCTTTTGAGCTGTGGTGAGAATCTTGAGAGTCCCTTGGACTACAAGGAGATCAAACCAGTCAATCCTAAAGGAAATTAACCCTGAATATTCATTGGAAGGACAGATGATGAAGCTGAAGCTTCAATACTTTGGCCACCTGATGTGAAGAGCAGACTAATTAGAAAAGACCCTGATGCTGGGAAAGACTGAAGGTAGGAGGAGAAGGGGACGACAGAGGATGAAATGGTTTGATGGCATCACTGACTCGATGGACAGGAGTTTGAGCAAGCTCCATGAGATGATGGACAGGGAAGCCTGGCATGCTGCAGTCCACAGGGTCACAAAGAGTCAGACACAACTGAGTGACTGAACAACAATATATACACTGTGGTGGTAGTGGTTTAGTTGCTAAGCCATGTCCAACTCTTTGCGACCTCGTGAACTGTAGCCTACCAGGCTCCTCTGTCCATGGAATTCTCCAAGCAAGAATACTGGAATGGGTTGCCATTTTCTTCTCTTTTGTATAAAATAGATAACTAATGAGAACCTACCATGTAGCACAGGGAACCCTATTGAGTGACTGGTGGTGGCTGGTGGCCTAAGTGGGAAGGAAATCTAAAAAAGAGTGGATAATGTAAACGTGGACTTCCCTGTAGCTCAAACGGTAAAGAATCTGCCTGCAGTGCAGGAAACCAGGGTTCAATCCCTGGGTCGGGAAGATCCTCTGGAGAAAGGAATGGCTGTCCCCTCCAGTATTCTTGCCTGGAGAATCCCCATGGACAGGGGAGCCTGGCAGGCTACAGTCACGGGGTCACAGAGTCGAACACGACTGAGCGACTAACACACACACGCATATGTAAATGTATAATTGATTCACTTTGCTGTACAGCAGAAACTAACATTGTAAACCAACTATACTGTAATAAAAATTAATTTAAAAAAATAAAGTTTCTACTGCTGGAATGGTAAGCGGTGGGATGAGGTGGAAAGTGGGAGGGAGGTTCAAGATGGAGGAGACTATGTATACCTATGGCTGACTCATGTTGATGTATGGCAGAAACCAACACAATACTGTAAGGCAATTATCCTCCAAATAAAACTAAATTAATTAAAAACAAAGGATTTACTTGACCAAAAAAAATAATAAAATCTAGCCCCATCACTCAAACATAAAGTTTCTACTGCTGATATGATGGTGGATTAATTTGGATGATGAATTTTATTCTTCAAGATTTTATTTGACACATCATCACAATTACTTCTGCCATCCCCACTTTTCCATTTTGTTGTGGGTGTGTTGTGGGTGCATCCTGGGTCAAATACTTGATCTCATTTAAAAGATTTTTTAAAAAATCAGTAATTTTGCTGAATTCATGCCAATGTTTAATAAGGCTGACCAGTCACTTCGTCTAAATTTCCTGCCATCTGCCATCATGTTAAACAATGGTGGAGACCTTCACATCCAGGCCCTTTTGCAGCAGTGAGTAAGTCAACCATACCTGCGTTCAAGTACTAAATTCTGTACTTTTTTTTTCTTTCTTTTTTCTTGATAGTATTAATTTTACTTCCACAGATGATTAAAAAGTTGTTAGGTCTTCCTTTTTCTTTGGCCTAGATGCATGGCTGGTGGGATCCTAGTTCCCCCACCACTGATAGAACCGGGGGTCCTGGCACTGAGAGCATCTGAGTCTGGTTTCCTTATCTTTAAAACAGGGATGACGCAAATCGTGTTTTGCAGGGTACAATGAGAGTCAGTAATAATTTAGCACGTAGTTGTATAGGCTACACAAGTTGGAAGAATTGTTAATACTTACGGACTTGGGTTGAAATAGCACCACTTTCGCCCTTTATCCAGTTGGGAATGTTAACATGCTGATACTTAAAGAAGTTGTATAGAGTATGCAAAAATTGGGGCTTCCCTGGTGGCGCAGAAGTTAAAGATACACCTGCAATGCAGGAGACCCGGGTTCGATCCTTGGGTGGGGAACATCTCCTGGACAAATGAATGGCAACACACTCCAGTATTCTCGCCTGGAGAATCCCAAGGACAGAGGCCGGCTATATAGTCCAAGAGGTCGCAAAGAACCGGACAAGACTGAGCGAGTAAGCATTACACACACACACACGCACAGGCACCCACCCACACACGAAAATTAGTTTGCGCCGAAGCGTAAAATGTATTTGTTCAATGAGTTATCAATAAAGTTTCAAGTTAAAAAATCCTCCCTGTTTCGTTTAAATAAAGTTTTGCTCAAATAGCGAGCCCGGTTCTTATCGCGAGAATCTGGCGGAAGGCTCCTCTGGCTGGAGACCTGCTCTCGCGTTGTTTGAGCTAGCAGCGGCGAGAGGTGAAAGGGAAGCACGAAATACCGCGAGATTACTGAAGATTCTCGCGGTATTTCTTGGGATTTACCCCCCTCCCCCCGCCTTCCTCCTAGTGCCGTTTCGGTTTAACCTAGTGTGTGACTGTGAGTCTGTGTGAGGGGCCGAGTGTGTGAGGTACTTGGGTGAGGCGGAAGCTAGAGAAGGGGCTCCCTCAGGAGCGAGGGACAAAAGGGGCGTGAGGCACCTAGGCCGCGGGACCCCAGCGACAGGAAGCCGCCCCGAGCCGGGCTACCGGGTAGGGGAAGGGCCCGCGCAGTCCTCACAGGGCCCCAGAGCCAGAGTCGGCCACACAGCACCGGGCCGTCGGCTTCCTACTTCTTCGACCTCCCCGGCGTCTGGGGCCCGAGGATTGGCTCGGCGTGGGGAGGAGAAACAGATTCGAGCAGCTACTTGTCTCGCAACTCCACTGCTGAGGAACTCTCATTTCTTCCTTGGCTCCTTCACCCCCACCTCATGTAGGAGGGTGCTGAGGAGACGGGAGGGAGGAGGAACCTGGACTACTGTCCCTTCCCTCCCCACCCCCTTGTAGGGGCGCTTTGGTAGGCGTGGGGCTGGGGGGGAGGGTGGGGGTTACTTTTTGGAGTGCTGGGGAACTTTTTCCCCTTTTTGAGGCCAGGGGAAAGGGAATGCCCAATCCAGAGAGACATGGGGGCAAGAAGGACGGGAGTGGGGGAGCTTCTGGAACTTTGCAGCCGTCATCGGGAGGTGGCAGCTCCAACAGCAGAGAGCGTCACCGCTTGGGGTCGAAGCACAAGCGGCATAAGTCCAAGCACTCCAAAGACATGGGATTGGTGACACCCGAAGCAACACCTTTGGGCACAGTTATCAAACCTTTGGTGGAATATGATGACATTAGCTCTGATTCCGATACCTTCTCTGACGACCTGGCTTTCAAACTGGACCGGAGGGAAAATGATGAACGTCGCGGGACTGATCGCAGCGACCGCCAGCATAAACACCGTCACCACCAGCACCGACGTACCCGCGACTTATTAAAAACTAAACAGACAGAGAAAGAAAAAAAAGTGGAAGCCTCCAGTAAGTCGGGCTCGACGAAAGACCGGATATCAGGAAGTTCTAAGCGTTCAAATGAGGAGAATGATGACCACGGGAAGGCGCAGATCTCGAAAAGCAGCAGCAAGGAATCCAGGTCATCCAAACTCCATAAAGAGAAGACCCGGAAAGAACGTGAGTTGAAGTCGGGACACAAAGACCGAAGTAAAAGTCATCGGAAAAGGGAAACACCCAAAAGTTACAAAACAGTGGACAGCCCCAAACGGAGATCCAGGAGTCCCCACCGGAAGTGGTCCGACAGCCCCAAGCAAGATGATAGTCCCTCCGGAGCTTCTTACGGCCAAGATTATGACCTTAGTCCCCCGAGATCTCACACCTCTAGCAATTATGACTCCTACAAGAAGAGTCCGGGAAGTACCTCTAGAAGGCCGTCAATCAGCCCACCTTACAAGGAGCCTTCTGCCTACCAGTCCAGCACTCGGTCACCCAGTCCCTACAGTAGACGACAGAGGTCTGTGAGTCCCTATAGCCGGCGACGTTCTTCCAGCTATGAAAGGAGTGGCTCTTACAGTGGGAGATCACCCAGTCCCTACGGTCGACGGCGGTCCAGCAGCCCTTTTCTGAGCAAGCGCTCTCTGAGCCGGAGTCCACTTCCCAGGTGAGCTATTTGTCTAACAGTCCGTTCTTTCCTACTGTAGCTTATGAGGAACTGGGGGTTAGACCTGTTAACGTTTTGTGGAAGCCCCCAGTGTTTGGCATTGTATAGAACACTTTGCTGTTGACTAGTCATAATGTAGGTGAGACTGGTCTCCTCTTAACTCAGAATTGAAGAGGAGAGATCACATGCCTAAAGCTGCTAAAGGTAGGTACTTCCAGTGCTGGGACCTTCAGCTGTAAGCTCCTATGTGAGAAAAATCATAGGCTTCTGCTTACTGAGTGCATGAAGTTGATACTGGTTCCCAGAGTTTATCCAGTTATTTCGGTTGCTTTGTCTTAACTTTTCAAAAATCACTTTGGAATTAGTGCTTTAGGCTTCATTGGACCTGATTGGAGATTTCATTTGTGTTATTTGAGGCTGTTTTCCTAGGTCATCTACCATTTGCACTGTGTCTCCAAACCTGTAAGTTTATTTCCTAATAGACAGGTTTTTTTTTTTTTTTTGATAACTTACAGAAGACTCCCATCTTTGATGTTTCTAGTGGGAATTAAGCTGATTAGTTCTTCCCTTTTATGGTATAACCTGGCAGAAATTGGTTCCAAGGATACTTCGATTTTCTTTACAAGTGTCACCATTGACCTATCTTGTGACCACTGCAGTTTTCAGAATCTTTCTCTTAAAAAATGCTAATAGTATCTTCACTGTGATATTTTTGGTGATAAAGGCATGTTAGTTTGAAATTTAATTGTTGGAGTGAATTGTCTACAGAAAACTATTCTTGTTCCTAAGTGATGAGGTGTATGTACCTCCCTGTTTGTAGTCTTACCATTTTCCACAAAAGGAGAATTTGGGCTTAGGAGTCACATCTGAGTGGAATCCTAATCTTGTTTTGTAACCTTTGGCATATAATTTAATTTCTCTGTGTGTGAAATGAGAGTAATAACTACTTAGTTCTAGAGTTGCGAGATTTAACTAGTAAATATGAGTGCATAGCCAGGTACAGTGCCTGGTCAGTAAATTCTATCAGTGAGTGAGGAAAATGTTGAAAACTAGTAGAGAAATTATGCTAATTTGAAAAAATCCATGCCATGTTTTTTATATGGCACTGTAATTTTTGCTGGCTTAAAGTTATAATTATTCATAAACTAGTTTGAGTTCATCAAGTTACAAGAGTTCCTAGCTGTCAGAGTATGAAGTTCCTTAGGCTTTCCCCCTCCATTTTATATTGTAGTCAGGACTCAAATATGTACCACCTAGTTTCTGCAATTAATACTTGATATACATTTTATCCATCTCTTCATCAAGCCATCTTCATTTGTTTTGATTCATCTCAGTGTAAGTTGCATACATCAGTATACTTCACTATAAACACTTTAGCATGTACACCATTAGCTAGAGTTCACTTTTTTTTTCTGGAGGAATGAGAAGTAAATTTACATACAGTTAAGTAGATGTCTTAAGTGTACTATTTGTAAAATTGCTTAGTTTTTTTTACCGACGCCTAAGAAATAGTCTCAGAATATTTGTTTTCTTGAGGGAGTAGTTTCATTAAGGCTGTTCTGAGAATTTTGATTGTTAGGGGGTTTGAGAATACAGAATTGCATTGAGGCTAAAACAAGTTTCAGTAAAAAGCTGCTTTTGCAATAATTCCTTTTGGATTCAAATCTCAAGTTCTCTCTTCCTGTACTCACTTAGTTGAAATTAGTGCAGTAATGGTAAAAATAAATCAAGAAAAAATTGAAAATACAACATGATCCTATAGGACACAAATATAAACAGTAAATAATAATCCCGGAGTCACACGCACATTTTTAGTTGGCTGGTAAAGAGCATACATGTTTATAGGTGTGCGGTATGTGCATATGTACATATTTTTCCTCATTCAGTTTCTTAGAGTAGGGAACATATAGATCCCTTTTATGGTCTTCTCGGTTATTTTTTTTTTCCTTGAGAGAGACAGTTAGAATTAAACAAGTGATATCATATTTAAAGACTGAAAATGCTTTGAGAGAAGCTTTGAAGGCCTTTGCATCCACCAAATTAGTGATTAATAGTAGCAAGTTCATTTCAAATGGGTGGAACCTAGGTTAATTCAGGGGAAAAATATATTTGTTTTTAAAGACAGTTTTGTTCACTGTTTGAAAACAATTTACCTATTTGTTGTCCCCTTTTTACCCCCTTTTTTCCTTAAAGAGTGGATCTGGACTTCAACTTTAACATTTCTGTAACTTATAGCCATCCAAATGTCCTATTAACAGTAAGATTCTGTTCAGAAGTTGAAGGATTTGTAGCGGAGTTCTTTAGGAAGATTTAGTCATGCTGAAAGAAACAGTGGGTTGTAGAGCATGTTTCTGACATTACTTAGTGTTTTCCTGAGGTAATGTTTCAACCCAGTCTGTAATTCAGAAAAAGCCTCTTGTTTAGCCACTTTATTTACAGGAGATGTATTAGTTTTCTTAAGAGTAACTGGGTATTTAGTAAATTCGTTTAACTAGTTTCGTCTTGTATCCTCATGTTGATATAAATGATGTTGTTTGATTCCAGTGATTATTTTATATTTTAATTAACTTTTGGAAGAAATTTCCAAAAGGCATTATGAGTATAAGAAAATCATGACTAACATCATGTGAGTTGTTTCCCCTACCATGTATATGCTATTTGTTTCAAAACATTTTGAATTACATCAGTCTTACCAATGATCAACCATAAAAGGGAGATATTGAAGATCTGAAATGGGAACAATTTGTTTTAGACTATTGGACAAATTATGTTTTGCCCAGTCATACTTGGACACATTGTGTGCCTGCTAAGTTCCTTCAGTTGTGTCCAACTCTTTGTGACCCCATGGATTGTAGCCTGCCAGGCTCCTCTGTCCATGGGGGTTCTTCTGGCAAGAATACTGGAGTGGGTTGCCATGCCCTCCTCCAGGGGATTTTCCTGACCCAAGGGTCGAACCTCCGTCTCTTGTGTCTCCTGCATTGGCAGGCAAGTTCTTTACCACTAGTACTACCTGAGATGGCCGGTAACATATTTGACTTTTTATATTAAAAAGCAAAAAGAATTAAGGGGGGGTTGGATTTTAATTTAGAATAATCTGCCTTTTAGATTCCCAGATTTTACTTCCCAATCCTTTAATAATGGAGAAAATAAGTTGAACATGTGATAATACCTTGCTTTATGAATTTCTAAAATGTTTATTGGAAATCATTTTATATTTGAAAGTACTAGAAGCCATAGTTTTAAGAACGTCTAATAAATTATTTTGGCAAGACAGTTTCTCCAGTTTATGTAGCTTGTAAATCCTAAATCTTGTATCTTGGGAGTTTGTTTAATATAGGCACAACTTAATTATAAACTAAGGATTCAGGAACAAAATCTTTTCCTGGGATTTCTCAATTAGTTAGCTCTCTAGTTTAAAATTTTAGGTTTTAGTGAAGTGTGCTGGTTACTACGTTTAGCATTAAGTATGACTTTTAAAAATCATGTTTTCACTTTATCAGATATTTAAACCAAAATTCTAAAAGTAATCGTGAATGTGCATATTTTCTTACATGGGAAAAAATATCCATCTGTCTTCTTTCAGTTGAATAAGTAGGGGATAATTTTTAGATTATATGACTGAAATATGTTACCATGAAGGATTTATTTCCTTCTAATCCATTTTTTTAAAGAACATTTTTAAATTTATAGAAAAATTGTGATGCTAGTACAAAGAATTCTTTCATATCCTCAAACTCAGTTTCCCCTATTATTAATATCTTATATTTGTTATAATTAATGAACCAATATTGATACATTATTATTATTATTATTATTTGATGGTACCATCCAGTCCCATCACTTCATGGCAAATAGAAGGGGAAAAAAATGGAAGCAGTGACAGATTTTATTTTCTTGGGCTCCAAAATCACTTCGGAAACGGTGACTGCAGCCGTGAAAGTAAGAGACACTTGCTCCTTGGAAGGAAAGCTATGACAAACTTAGACAACATATTAAAAAGCAAAGACATCACTTTGCCGACAAAGGTCTGTATAGTCGAAGGTATGGTTTTCCCATTAGTCATGTATGGATGTGAGAGTTGGACCATAAAGAAGGCTGAGTGCCAAAGAATTGATGCTTTCGAATTGTGGTGCTGGAGAAGACTCTTGAGAGTGGGTGCCATGGACTGCAAGGTGATCAAACCAGTCAATCCTAAAAGAAATCAACCCTGAATATTCATAGGAAGGACTGATGCTAAAGCTGAAACTCTAATACTTTGACCACCTAATGTGAAGAGCCAACTCATTGGAAAAGGCTCTGATGCTGGGAAAGATTGAGGGCAGGAGGAGAAAAGGGTGGCAGAGGATGAGATGATTAGATAGCATCACCGACTCAATGAACATGAATTTGAGCAAACTCCGGGGGATAGTGAAGGACAAGGAGGCCTGGTGTGCTGCAGTCCATGGGGTCGCAAAGAGTCAGACAGGATTGAGCAACTGAACAACAACAACAATCTATTTTTAAGATTGCTAAGTACTCAAACTGGGTTTTTTTAGTTACAGTTCTTCATAGTTTAACTATTTTCTTCCATATTACTATAGTCTACGCATTTAAAATTTTTTTTCTTTTTCCAGTAGAAAATCAATGAAGTCTAGAAGTAGAAGTCCTGCATATTCAAGACACTCATCTTCTCATAGTAAAAAGAAGAGATCCGGGTCACGCAGTCGACATTCCAGTATCTCACCTGTCAGGCTTCCATTGAACTCCAGCTTGGGAGCTGAACTCAGTAGGAAGAAGAAGGAAAGAGCAGCAGCTGCTGCAGCAGCAAAAATGGATGGGAAGGAATCCAAGGGTTCACCTATATTTTTGCCTAGAAAAGAAAACAGTTCAGTAGAGGCTAAGGATTCAGGCTTGGAGCCTAAAAAGTTACCCAGAGGTGTAAAATTGGAAAAATCTGCCCCAGATACTGAACTGGTGAATGTAACACATCTAAACACAGAGGTCAAAAATTCTTTAGATACAGGGAAAGTGAAGTTGGATGAGAACTCTGAGAAGCATCCTGTTCTTAAAGATACGAAAGTACAGGGAACAAGAGACTCTAAACCTGTAGCACTGAAAGAGGAGATTGTTACTCCAAAAGAGACAGAGACATCTGAAAAGGAGACCCTTCCACCTCTTCCCACAGTTACTTCTCCACCTCCTTTACCAACTACTACCCCTCCACCACAGACACCCCCCTTGCCACCTTTGCCTCCACTGCCAGCTGTTCCACAGCAGCCACCTCTGCCTCCTCCCCAGCCAACATTTAGTCAGGTTCTTTCTTCAAGTACTTCAACTTTGCCCCCCTCTGTTCATCCAAGGACATCTACTCTGTCCTCTCAGGCAAATTCTCAGCCCCCTGTACAGGTTTCTGTGAAGACTCAAGTATCTGTAACAGCTGCTATTCCACACCTAAAAACTTCAACGTTGCCTCCTTTGCCCCTCCCACCCTTATTACTGGGAGATGATGACATGGATAGGTAAGTCCTGTAGTTAACTGGGAAATTTTAACCCTCTTGATCTAAATGTAATGTAGTTTTTATTCTCAAGGCTTTGTCAAAATTGTTCTGATGCATGTCTGTTTCGAATGCTTTCATGAATAGGAAATGCCTGTGATGTTTGGTTTTCAGTGGAAAAAGTCCTTATGTATGACATGATTAGGAAAAGAGAATTACAGTTTGAGGTCTAGTAATCCTTTTTCTCACAAGAGTATCAATAATTTTGATTTAAACTTTTAAAAATTATGTGTTTTTATCCTTAAATTTTTATGTTGAAAATTTTAGTATTACATTGCTGCAGAAAAATTAACACCTGTATGCCCTTTACCTAGATTGACCAGTTGTTAATTTTTTGCCTTATTTTTTTAAACTATAGATATTATGACATTTTTTAATAGTTTAGCATGTCTCTCCTAACAAGAACACTTTCCTATATAATCACAATACCTTTATCACCCTAAAAAACATTCATTTATTGAATAATATCAGCATATCAATAATAATAATATTAATATCCTAAGTGGTCCCCAAAATGTCTTTTAAATTGACTTTTTTCCATCTTGATGCTTTAAAAAAATTATCCTTAAGAAGGAAAAGAACAATATGTAGAGTCTTTGCTAATTAGAATATAAATTCACAGTGTGGTGATAAGAAGAGCTCTCATTTTAATGAGTCCTCTGAGTATTGAGACCTAAAATGATTTGAAGCACAAATCTGATTTCATGGACGGCATTAGGAAATACATTTGTTTAATTTCTTGGTGGGCCTAGCTAGGCAAGTACAACCAAACTTGATATAGCAGTGACATATACCTTGGCAGTCTTCGGGTTATTGTTTTTTCTATGGAGATTCTGCCCTCTTATTATAGAGAATATGAGTTTCACTTAATACAACAAGTTTTCATCGTAAGCACAGAAATAAATATCAGTCATGCATCCCAGACCAATTCCCAAGCTTCCATTACTTTCCAGGTGACAGCAGTAGTTTAAATAGTGATACATTTCCGCCCTTTAGGTCTGTATTTTTTCAGACTACTCTCTGTGCTTTTTTAGAAGGTGCAAGTGCAATAAATGATGGGAAAAGAGACTATTTAAATGAATGGTTCCATTACTATATATAGTGGTAAATATGATTTTAAAGGAAAATTCCACATGCTCTTTCTAATATTAATAGGTATTAATGAATTCTGCCACATCCTGAGAACTACAAAGGAGAAGAAAAGAACCTGAAATTTATGTAGAAAAATTTGTTTGAGGTACACAATATACTTATCATAGATACAAAATATATATTTTTGTAGTTTTGTTGAAAAAGAAGTCATCCAGAGGGAATCTCGGCCACTATCTTTCCACGGGAACCTTGTTTAAATATTAGTTTACATAGTGGCTAGAATCATATCAGTGTGGCTAGGAATCTTCCTTTTGAAATGTTTACTTGGCTAACCAAGTAGACATTGAACCTGTCTACTATGAGTCAGGGTAAAGTGCAGATTTGCGGAGGTGGAATCATTTTGATAGAAGGCACATAGAGATTTCTATCTTTCAGATTCTAAATGAAGGGTAAAGTAAGATCATTCAGTGCTTATTTGAGTATGTGTAACTGTCTTTAAGAACACTCGCGAGAGAAGTGAGAAAAATTATTTTTGTTACATATTAATTCTGATTCCAAAAGTATAACTGTTTCATTTAATAGTCCTTATTAAAGGTAGAAAAATGGAAGTGAAGATTTCTTCCAATATCAGTTTTATTTTTTCACTATGTACTAACTTAAGATTCAAGATGGCTTTTCTGTTTTTGTCTTCATTTACTTATTTGGTGCCACTCCTTCCATGTACCAGCTGTACCTTTCACATGAAAAACATTGGTTTATTAATTTAAAAAAAGGTTTTTTTGTCCGTGTGGCATTTGGGACCCTAGTTACTCAACCAGGGATCAGACTTATGCCCTCTGCATAGGAAGCGCTGAATCTTAACCATTGAACTGCCAGGGAAGTCCCGAAAAAATAATTTTATGTAAGAAGACTTTTTAGGAAGAAATCTGAAAGTTGTGAATGGAACTTCTATTCCTCTATACTTTATGTCATAGAAGACTGCAGGAGTTTAAATGTTGAGAATGTGACTTATACATTTTTTTATTGCCTGTAGTACTTTAAACATAAAACATAGAATGCAGTCATTAAATACTGATTATTTGAATAAGTAAAACTGCTGAAGGAACCAGGGTCAGGGCTTGTGTGAAATGAAATTGGGCATGTAGTTAAGAAATTATTTGTCACATGGATGATATAAAGCTTGTATTAGAGGATTTGTCCTTTTGGGAAAAGAATCTCTCTTTCAAACATAAGTGTGTGTGTGTGTGTGTGTGTGTAGTATATATATTGAGCAGAAGTATATAGACACAGGTATCAAATGGAAGAGTGAATTTAATTAATGGTATTTGCAAAAACCTTTCTGATTGACAGTCTACAATTCTTAGTTTCTAGAAGCAAAGGCTTCCAAACATCCACTTTGATACAATGCATTCTTCACAGGCATAGCTGTTCATGGAGATATGTTTCTTTTAAAGAGATCATCCATATGCATGTAGCTAAATTGCTTCAGTTGTGTCTGACTCTGTGTGACCCTACAGACTGTAACTCCCCCTGCCCCCTGTCTCTGTCTGTGGGATTCTCCAGGCAAGAATACTAGAGTGGGTTGCCATTTCTTCCTCCAGGGACTCTTCCCAACCCAGAGATTGAGCCCATGTCTCCTGTGTCTGTTGCATTGCCAGCAGATTCTTTATTCACTGAGCCATGAGGGATGGGGATATTTAAAGTAGTTTATTTTAAATTTGAAAATTAAAAAAATTAATTTTGGGGAATTCCCTGACTTTTCACTGGTTAGGACTCCAAGCTTCCACTGCTGTGGGCCCAAGTTCCATCCCTGGTCAGGGAATTGAGAACCTACAAGCTGTGTGACATGGCCCAAAAACAAGTTAATTTTCTTTTTGTGTAGTTCATATGTAAGTTCATATTTTTTTTAATTAACAGTAAAGACCTATAAGAGGTGTTTACATTGTACCTACAGAATAAATTCCAGCATCATAAATTCCAAGAGACTATCCATATTCTAAAATTTGAGCACTCTGGGATTTGACAACTTTTTTTTTTCTTTTAATTATACACAGACATTAATGCAACTTTGTCTCCATGAGTGAACCCATCTACTGGTATAAATGGAGAAGCAGGAAATATTGATATTGATAGAGTCAATCAGTTCTTGCTGGTACTGAATCTTCAAGTAATGGCTTAGGTGTTCAATATTTCTTCCACTATGTTAGACCCTCTCTGCATCTACCATATGTTCTCAGAACTATATAGAGCTTTATTTTAGTGAGTACCCTACACTAAAGGCTAAAGGCCATAATATTGCTAAGCATTGCAATTTTATCATTTTTATTTTATGCATCATTATTGCAAGGTTTTTGGCACATGTGGAATTTGTTGAAACAAAATTTAACCTCTGTTTAACTTGTGTGCTCTAAACTGGTAATACATATCCCATCAAACACTGAATTCTTTCTTGAAATAGCGTACTCAAATTTTTTCAGAAGCAATGTACATCCTCACAATAGCAAATAATATTTGAACTCATAAAGTAAATTTTGGAGAAAATAAGATGTAAATGTAAAATATAGACTGAACTTACATGAAATGATGGTGAAAAAATTCAGTTAATTTAATTCTAGTGACACAGAACCAAGCTGGACTTTATTTTTGAATCATGGATTAAAGTTTATAAAAAGTATTTTGACAGAGTAATTGAAAAATTAGGAATTTTCTTTTCTGAATGTCTTAAAAATTGGGGAAATTTTAAAACTCTATATGACATCCTGACTCAAGAGTTTTCTTGTAACAGACTTTGTTTCAGGGTAGAAAAATCTACTGCAAGTTGGTGTGTGTTCATCACTATCAGTAATTTAACAGAAAATTTCAGATGATCGTTTTGCTCTACCTTGACTACCCCAGTTCTGGTTGATATGGTACAAACTAGATTCTGTTATTTGTATGATTTTTGAGATTAAAATGATGAAAAATAATAGGAAGTAGTAGCTTTTGAGATTGTGTTTCACACAGTGAAGATAGCAGTATGCTTTAAGAAGATAGGTTGCAAGCTGTCTTATCCCTTAGATGCATTTATGGTTCTATGTAGTATTTATGAAAGTTTTCTCTTAATAACCACTTGCTGAAAAAGTAGAAGAGGTTCCTACTGTGGTTAGGATTCTCAAATCCTTTTTAATCTTCTGATACTGTGATGGAATACAAAAGACTATCATGGTTTTATTTCTATACATGAATTAGTATGCTGCCTGTCTTTTCTGAGGACATGAATGGCACAAAATCCTTCTTTTACTCATAAGTAGAGGTGGTTAAAAAATTAGATCTGAAAATTGAATTTTCTAATCTATTCCAGAAAAGCCATCCCTTTTGTTCCCCTGCTATTATAATTTGTTGGAGAGGCTTTCTGCTGCCAGTACTTTGTTGTTGTTGTTTAGTCATTGTTGTATCTGACTCTTGTGACCCTGTGAACTGTAGCCCACTAGGCTCCTTTTTCCATGAAATTTCCCAGGCAAACATACTGGCATGGGTTGCCATTTCCTTCTCCAGGGGATCTTCCCAACCCAGGGATTGAACCCATGTCTTCAGCATTGGCAGGAAGGTTCTTTTACCATTACCATTTGAGCCACCAGTGCTTTGATGATTCTATAATGGTCTCTTGGACTCGTTCTCCTTAGATTCTTAGTTTGAGGGTTATTTATCCATTTTGGGTGGTTGAATATGATTGCCTTTTCTTCCCAACCAGTAGAATAAATCAGTGAATTTTTCATTTATTTTGATTTCCAGCTTAGCTGTATTTCTTACAAAACACTCTAAAAATACTCTTTGCTTTTTCCAAGTTTCCATATCTTTAGTAACATAGTAGTATTACACTGTTGGGCTTTCCATCATTATTGAAATCTTTAGAGCAGGTTTGGTAACTACACAGGTTGCCATGGTGTTTGCAAATTTAAGATTATAACTTGCTGTATTTTATTTCATCTCAATAAAAACCCAGATAGCATCTTCAGGAAGACATTAAAGAGTTTATTAAAGTTTCTACAAATAATATCCCAGGTCTTTTTTTTTTTTAATATACTATAGATTTCTCTTTGCAAAATCCAAGTCTCTTTAATTGTGACTAAACTCCATTTCTTTATGTTATATTACAGGGGCTTTTCCCTTAAAAGTAAAATCTTGGTAATCTCTTAATAACCAGACATTACAATCTTTGAGTTTTATTTGCACATTCTTTAAGTAATTGTGATCTTTTTCTTTTTTTCCTCTCTGTTGTTTAGTCCGAAAGAAACTCTACCTTCAAAACCTGTGAAGAAAGAGAAAGAACAAAGACCACGGCACCTACTCACAGACCTCCCTCTCCCTCCAGAGCTCCCTGGTGGGGATCCATCTCCCCCAGACTCCCCAGAACCAAAGGCAATCACACCACCTCAGCAACCGTACAAAAAGAGACCAAAGTGAGTTTTTGGCAGGATCAAACCCTACCTTTGGACCACATCCTACACCATTAGGATCACAGAGAACTGGGCCTAATGTAGATCTTCCTTTATTTTCACAGATAAAATTCTTTCATCTACATCCCCAGATACCTTGTCATGTTTTTTAGAAAAGTAATAATTTCCCAAATTCAAGTTTACCATGAACATTGATCCCACGGTATCTTTTGAGTTCATACTACTTAGAGTATTAAAGAGGGAAAAAATCCTTTTATACAGAGGATGTCAGCCATGTACATATTAACGACGAATTAATAGATGCAGGATTTTTTCCCCCTGAACTACATGAGTTGCCATGTCATAATGTAGTAGAATCTGAGTTTGCTCTTCTGATTGTTAGCCTTCTTCTCTTAGTAAGAAAAACAGTTGCCATTTATTGACCATATATTATTGCCAAAGTTTTATATTTTACTTTTATAGTAATCCTGTGATGTAGGGATTATTTTCCCATTCTATAGTTGAGAAAGCCAGTAAGAAGTTAGGAAGTAAGCAGCAATTCTATTATTTGATCTTACGTCTTCCTGAAGCAAAAAAAAAAGAAAAATCTGAGCCACTGTGAGAGACTATTTATCATATTATTTGATTCCTGCCTTTTTAATAAAGAAACTGATAAAAGAGCCAGGAATCAAAGAAATCATCATAAAAGAATTCTGTTTTGTTCTTTGTATACACTTAGGGAATTCCTTGGCATGGTTAGTACTCTGAGCTTCTACTGAAGGTCACGGGTTTGATCCCAGGTTGGGAAACAAGATTCCACAAGCTATGTGACACAGGAAAAAAAAAATACACTTAAATTTTTAGAGCAACTTTTTTGTTTGTTTTCTTTTTTTGATTTGCCTTTTTTAGAATTTGTTGTCCTCGTTATGGAGAAAGAAGACAGACAGAAAGTGACTGGGGGAAACGCTGTGTGGACAAGTTTGACATTATTGGGATTATTGGAGAAGGAACTTATGGCCAGGTATATAAAGCAAAGGACAAAGACACAGGTAAATAATGCCAAAAAATTCTAGATGTCAGATGGTGAAAAATTTAACCCTACTGCTGTTTTAAGTGGATTTAGCAAAAGTAAACTTCGAGTTCTAATTTGGTCTCCAAAAGTTACAAAATAGACTAAAATTTTCCAAAAGCATAGTATAATTATTATCTTCTAAAAACCTTCCTTCTGGTTGTCCATTGAAAGTGTTTTGGGGGATTTAAGAAAAGGTAAAATTTGTAAGTTACTCTTCGTTTGGTAAGGAGTTCTTGAAAATAAAATGAAGTAGTTGAATTTTTGGTATATTTTAATAATCCAAAATTTTTAGGCCTAATTGAATATTGAATTAAAATTTTAAAGTCATTTAAAAATCAAAGATAAGAAAGGGGATGTAGGGATTTTTTAAAAAAAACAATATAAAAGTATCTTGCATGTAGCATTAAAGTAGGCATTAAGTATATCAGAGCAAGAGCATATATTGGTTGATTCATGATGGTGGCCAGAAAATGCTAATTATGATAAAACTGTTTGAATTTGCTGTAACAGGAGAGCTGGTGGCCCTGAAGAAGGTGAGACTGGACAATGAAAAAGAGGGCTTCCCAATCACAGCCATTCGTGAGATCAAAATCCTTCGTCAGCTGATCCACCGAAGTGTTGTTAACATGAAGGAAATTGTCACAGATAAGCAGGATGCACTGGATTTCAAGAAGGACAAAGGTACTAGCAAAGAATCATGTTTCTGTATGGTAGATTGGTACATTTTATTTCCCTTAACAGGTTGTACTAAACAAATCCAGCTTCTTTAATTCATATCAAAATTAAGATGTTAATACATTGCTCTCCATCCTCATCAGTGTACTCGTACACTTTTGAAATGCTTGTTAATCATTACAGTTAGAGTGCTGTAACACCTAATAAGGCCAGCACATAAAAAATGTAAGATTCTCCAAGCAACATTTTGAAGTGTTCTTTTTGGGTTTTTTGTTTTTCACAAAGTATAATAATAGTAATGAAAGGTAAAACCCAGATTAGACAGTTATTCTCATTTTTACATCCTTCCTTCATTTATGCTGTGCTTAATCACTCAATCATGTCCAACGCTTTGCCATCCCCATGGACTGTAGCCCACCAGGTTACTGTACCCATGGGGATTCTCCAGGCACGAATACTGGAGTGGGTTGCCATGCCCTCCTCCAAGGGATCTTCCCAATCCAGAGTTCAAACCCAGGTCTCCCACATTGCAGGTAGATTCTTTACCATCTGAAGCCACCAGGAAAGCCCAAGAATACTGGAGTGGGTAGCCTAGCCCTTCTCCAGGGGATCTTCCGGACCCAGAAGTGGGGTCTCTTGCATTGCAGTCGGATTCTTTACCGGCTGAGCTACTGGGAAGCCCTCCTTCATTTATATGCATCTTCTTTTTTTTTTTAAACGTAGCTTTGTACTCATACAGTTTAGAATCCAAAGCAGGTATTTCTAAAACAATTTTCTTAAGGTCACATTGTGGTTTTCCTGGATTTGTAACTTGTCTTTGGGGAATAAAATTGTAGTAGTCTATCTATGACGTCCAGCCAACTTCTGTTAAAATAAATCTGAAGGTTTAGAAATGGGCAGCTGTAAAGAGATGGCATATGTGAATGTAGCCTGGGATATTAAGAGAAAATATGATTGAAATATATAAAATTAGGAGGGTATTGGTTAAGTTGGACTTCTTTATAGAGCCTCAGAGATATTAGCATTAAGGGAGTAGTATTTCTTGAGTTTGGTAGAAGTAGTTCTAAAGAAAAGGAAATTCTGCTTAGATAAATTTATGAAAGTTAGAATAGAATTAAGTATACTAGGTATATTTCTGGGTGTGTTTTTTAACCTTTTCTAATTATAAAAATAATACAGAGTAAAAATGAGTAAGAAAATGTTAATTGATTGCTTTTGGACAGGTGCTTACTTTTATCCATATCATTCTGTACTGTATAAGTAATTTACTATATACTGTTCAAATTCTTTTTCTTAAAAAAAAATCATAAAATAATTGAGGACGTCCTTGGCAATCCAGTGGTTAGGACTCCATGCTTTCACTTCAGTGAGCACGGGTTCAATCCATGGTCAGGGAAACTAACATGCTATGCGAAATGGCCAAAAAATAAATTTTGTTTTAATCACAAAAAAAATAAGTGAAAGAATGGATGTGATGCATGCCTATTGTGGAAGAAATGAAAATATAGATGAATAAGAAAAGGAAAATGACAATCACTTCTCTCCCACTCCCTTTCAGTATACTACCATCCATAGAAAATCACTATATAGTATTAACATTTTGGCATATTTCTTTCTGGAACTTCATAGATATTGTATTTATTTTAACATAACTGAGATCAAGGTGTATTTATTGTTTTATAACTTGCCATAAGCAATTTCCTGTATCATTAACATGTTTTAATGACTGTGTATGAAGATAAATGAATCCAAATTTAATTTCACCAGTCCTTGTTGAGCAATTAGTTGTCAGTTTAAAAAACTACTATAATAGCACCACATTGAGCATCTTTGCATAAATCTTTGCATTTTGATTTATTTCTTAATATAGTTTCCTAGAAATAGAATTATTTGGTGAAAGGAATTTTCATATTTAATTGTAGATTGCATAATAATTTAGGTCCCACCAGTGAGTCCCATCTCACTTAATCCTCCATAATGTTGAATTTTCTTTTTAAAAAACTGTTATCTGATAGATGAAGTATGAGTGATACCATTATTTTGGATTGTATTCCCGTTTTTTCCCTTGTCTATGAATTTTACTTATTTTTCTCTTTCTTGAGTTGTCTCTTTGTATCCTTTATCCACTCCTCTTTTGCAATTTTAGTGTTTTCTTTTTTGTAGGAGGGCTTAACTAAAGCTGAGGTATTCTTTTAATCCAGTGGTTGTTAACTTTTTGACAGTCATGGACCTTTTAAAATATCTCATGGGAAAAAAATATATATATAGCTCATGGGTTCATTCTTCAAAAAAACATTTAAAATGTTATATGCTGTTTCAGAGTCCTTGAAGCCTACCCTCTAGACTAAGAATCCTTGCCTTTATGTTACTGAGAGAAGAATTTTAGACTGGATAGATCATAGTATAACTAGGTCTAGTGTTTCTTATGTCACAGAATTTGCCTCTCTCATGCACCATGCTGAAAGTGTAAAGAGAATGTGGATTTCAAATCTTTTACAATTCTCTTAGCCTTTTACCTACTTTTAAATTTAGGATGTTGAATTGGATGATTCATTTTTCTTTCAATTCTTAAATACTATAAATTTCATTAATAGTTTGTACTACATGCAGCCCTGGCATATTATGTGAGTGCTGTTAACACTTCTATAAAGATGTCTACAAAAGTAGTCTTAGACAGTATGTAACAAATGGGCATGGTTGTGTATTACAAATAAAACTTTATTTACAGCAGTAGACAGAAGGGATTTGCCCCACGCAATCTGTAATTTGCCCACTGATTTAGATCATAAAAGACATATGCAACCTAATTGGAGGAGTTGTCCCCTTCAAGACGTAGGTAGTCCAAAGAGCACCAGACTGTGGGTCAGAAGATTAGTTCAAATAGTAGTTCTGTTATTTATTATTAGAATGGGCAAGTTACTCAGTTGCTGGAGTTTTAGTTTCTTCATATATACAATTAAGCATCTTTTTCTAGAGAGCTTATGGTCAACTCCAAAACTATATAAAAATTAAGGCATTGTTATTTTAGCATCCTTTTTCTCTTTTCTAAATTTTTTCTTTCATCCTATGTAGGAGCCTTTTACCTTGTGTTTGAATATATGGACCATGACTTAATGGGACTTCTGGAATCTGGTTTGGTGCACTTTTCTGAGGACCATATCAAGTCATTCATGAAACAGCTAATGGAAGGATTGGATTACTGTCATAAAAAGAATTTCCTGCATCGGGATATTAAGTGTTCTAACATTTTGCTGAACAACAGGTAACATAATAACCATATGAGGTTAAGCATTTTCTCCCTCTCTTCTGACACCCTTAGTTTCAGCTAATTAATTAAAGAGTTATAGATAGACCCAATAATGCAGTGTTTGTGTTTATGTACATCTGATGTCTGTACCTTAGGAACAACTTGTGATGGGATATCAGCAGAGTCTCAGACTCAGTCTTGGTAAGGAGCTAAAGGAGATAGGACTGTAAAGGTATTTTTTATTTTATTTGTAAAGGTTTTTTTAAATGCAAACATGTTAGAGAATCACCCGCATCCTGCAGGAATATTCAGAGAGCTTTTGCCATAGTTAGTAATACTTTTGTGGTCCTAGGCAAATTCCTACACACATCGAGTTCTTAAGGAAATTCTCACAAACCTGCTCTTATAGCTGCTTTTGCGACTTTCTTAGTTATCGAATTTCAGAGTAAACACAGTTGGGGACTGACATTTTTGCCAGCACTTACTCCTGGGTTTTAATAGTATAGACGGACAGGAATTTGGTAAAGAACAGTGTTATTTCTTCAGAAGTTTTTATCATCTGCTTCCTTCCTCTTTGGCTATTTGCTTAAAGTGAATTGGTGATATCACTTGTTACTCACAGTAGCCTTGAGTAATAGCCCTACATATTGAGGAATAAAAAGCAAGTCTGGAACCATTGAAATAAGGCCAGTGTTGGTTCTGTAGGTAATTAGGCTATTTATAGCCATCTTTGTCTGATGCAAGGAAATCCAACCAGTCCATCCTAAAGAAGATCAGTCCTGGGTGTTACTGGAAGGGCTGATGTTGAAGCTGAAACTCCAATACTTTGGCCACCTGATGCGAAGAGCTGACTCATTTGAAAAGACCCTGATGCTGGGAAAGTTTGAGGGCAGGAGGAGAAGGGGACGACAGAGGATGAGATGGTTGGATGGCATCACCGACTCAATGGACATGAGTTTGGGTAAACTCTGGGAGTTGGTGATGGACAGGGAGGCCTGGCATGCTGCAGTTCATGGGGTCGCAAAGAGTTGGACACAACTGAGCGACTGAACTGAACTGAACTTGTCTGATGCACTCTTTGTATTAAGTATTTCTGTTCAGTTCTGTTTAACAAACATTATCTATTAATATATGGGAATATAGAATGACTGTGACATGTTTCCTATCTTTGTGGAGTGGGGTGACCAACTCTTCAGGCTTGCCCAGGGCTGTCCTGGTTTTAGCACCTAAAGTCTCATGTTGGATGGTTGGTCCCTGGAGAGTTGCATTTAGTGGGAAGCTAAACAAATAAATTGCTTATTTCTATAAATATTTATTAAACTGCCCCCTACCCCCAGATTTGGGAACATCTGGGAAGATGTGATTTCAAGGAATGAATAGGAATTTACCAGAAAGAATGACAACAGAGGGTTACATTTCTAGGCAAAAGAGATTGAATTTACAAATTCATATTTGTAAACTCACATTTACAAATTCACAAAATTTACAGAAGCGCATAAATGTGAAAATAACATAACATGTTTGAAAAACTGGAAAAGGAGTCAGTGTTGCTAGGGCATGAAGAGTGAAACACATAATGGCTAGATGAAGCTGGACAGTTGCAAGGAGCCAATTTAAATTTAATTTGTAAGAGACAGCCATTAAGAGGTGCTGGGTAATTTTTTGTTTTCAAATTATACAATTAATGCATTATTTCATTGTCCAAATTATTGTAAAATTATTATTTGTACTTAAATACCTTTATGAGATAAAATGTGATATTGAAAGATTCCTTTCTGTCACTATATCTGTGACCCACCACAATTCTTATTAAAGCTGGACTTGGTTAAAACCATCTATATATACAGTAATAATGCATCAAAAACTTTAATGATGATGGCTTTCATCTTGCAGTTTTCTGGACTGTAGTTTTAATATACTTTCTTCTGTTCCTTTTGCTCTTCCGTTGGGGGATGTGTAAGGCTAGGAAATAATTGTAGTCCTGTTTGGTGTCCATTCTGGTGGGTCCAGCTCCTCTCTGTCCCTAACTTCCTGAGTTCAGAAAGCTGGTGAGCTTCTAGACTAAAGTGAATGTTCTTTTCAGTTTTCTGAGCAGGCTGCAGGAGTCTCATGGTCTAGTCTGATCCAACCAGCCTCTGCTCTTGCCCATTTAGTTCTGTCTACACAGAGACTTTTGAGTGAGATGGCATAGAGAGGAGTCCTCAGCTGGATGAAGGAGGGAAAACCGTTGATGAGAGAGGGAGGATAGCGGGGTTGGGCTTCGTGATGTTTGTCTTAATTACACAACTATAAATGAAACCATATTATTTTAGATATAAGAGAGACCAATTAGTCTTCTGCTTTAGAAAAGTCACTGGATGGTCACTATATAGGGTGTGGACTCGGGGCCCACAGACTTATTAAAAATATAAGAAATGGTCTGAACTTAAACTAACCAAGGCATTGCTAGTAGAGGATGGACAGCATGGACTTGGTAGATAGTAGACTTGATGAGAGAGTGAATGGTGGGGAATGAATCAGTGTATTCACAGATCTCTCACTTGAGAAACTATCTAGATGGGCAGCAGAGTGATCAATATAGGGAATAAAGGAAGAATAGGATGCATCAGGCAAAAGAGGAAACCCCATACTATAATATATTCAGGGCACTATAATATATCCAGGGTAGTGATATCAAATAGGGATATGATCACATGAAAGTTTCAAACCAGCAGTGTAGATTCAGGAGTTACCAAGCATAGAAAAGATATGAGAAGATGAAATCTGAGAAACTGGTCAGATAGATCGGAAGAAAATAAGGAAATATCATGAATGCAAAATTGGCAGGTTTAAGAAATGTGTGGTTATAGATGTCAGGTGATGTAAATAGGTTTTAAGACTCAAGAAGAGAATCTGAAAATAAGAAGGTCAGTGGTAAAAGTGTGGGGTAAGTGGGTAGGTAGCATAATTAATGGGAAGGTAATTGTAGTTTTGACTTTAATTGTTTGTTTTTATTAATTTTTTATTAAGGATGCAGAGCTTTGAGCATATTTAAATGCTAAGGAAAAAGAAAGTCAATAAAGAGGGGAAAGTTGAAGATTCAGGAAAGAACCAAAGTAATTTAAAGGAACGAGGTTCTAGAGGAGATGGCATCAAAGCTAGAGGTGGTAGTATTGATTATCCTTGAACAGGAAAAGAGATTGACATATTTTTTCCTCTAATTGAAGGGAAAGGAGAAAGCAAGGTTAGAGGTGTAAATAAGTATAGGTAAAACAGTGTTAAATAGCTCCCACTTGATGACATCTATTTCCAGTGAAGAAGGTTATTTACTGAGAGTAAGAGGGTACGAGGATGGATTAGGAAATAAACTAGGTTCTGGTGATATTTAGGTCTAGCCTGATTTTCCGTAACCATATATCTATTGCTATTTTTTTAATAAATTTTATCATTTCCACCATCTTTTTAAAATTTTTATTTATTTAAATTTAATTAATTGATTGATTATTAATTATATTTATTTGTTTAGCTGTACTGGGTCTTTGTTGCTACACGTGGACTTTCTCTAGTTGCAGTGTGCAGTGGCTGCTGTCTCACTGTGGTGAGGCTTCTCACTGTGGTGACTTCTCTCTTTGCCTAGTGTGGGCTTAGTAGTAGAGGTCCTCAGGCTTAGTTGCTCTGCTGCAAATGGAATCACCCCAGAGCAAGGATTGAACCCGTGTTCCCTGCATTAGCAGGCTGATTCTTAAACCACTGGATCACCGAGAAAGTGCCTCTGTTGCCCTTTTAATTTTTAAGTTGTACCATAGTAGAACTTACCTTGAGTCTTTGGATCAAAGTAAGGATGCCAAGGAATTTGAGGAACCCTTTTGGTCTCAATATAGGACTCAAGACAGCTATTTCTTTCCTTTTTGCTTTTCTCAGAAATTGTTTATAAATTGAACTTAAAATGTGATGAGGTATGGGACAAGTGGGTAAGGTGCCCATTATCTTTATTAGGAATGTTGAGTTGATTTAATGTAAAATTTTGTTGCTAGTAGTTACCTGGTTTTAATATTTTGTCCTATTGCTCAGATTTTGAGGAGCACCTCATAGAGTAGCCTATTTTCCCCCTCTTCTATCTCATTTTTCTGCTAGATCTGAGCTGTCAAAACACCTGTGACATCCCCAGTTCTTTAAAAATAGTCAACTGGCTTTTCATTCCCCAAGAGGTAACACAAACTGTACACAAAAATTGAGATAGGTGTGATTAATCCAATAGTTAATTATGGTTTTTAAATAGTTTCCCAGCATTTTGTGTTGCATTTTATTAAAATATTACTTGATTCACTGTCAAAAGAAGGATATTTAGCAGCGTGAAACATGGGTGTGGTCTCTTTAACATTAACATTATATAACAATTAACATTTTGCTGTATTTGCTCCCTTATTTTTATGCCTTACTTATTTTAAACCAAATTAGATCAGTATGTTTGACCCTAAATACTCTGACAGAATTATTATATATTATTTTCTAACAGTCCATATTTTATGTTTTTTCACTTATGTCAAAAATATCTTTTGTAGGGAGTTCCCTGGAAGTCCAGTGATTAGGACTTGGCACTTTTACTGTTGTTGCCCAGATTTAATCATTGGTTGGGGAACTAAGATCCAGCAAACCCCATGGCGTGGCCAGAATAAAAAAACAGTCTTTTGTGGAGCTAATTTGTTCAAGCCAGAATCAGTCAGGGATTATGAGTTGGATTTAGTTGTTAGGACTCTTAAATCTCCCTTAATCTGAAATAGCCCATTCAGTTTTTCCACAACCATAAGTATTTAATCTATCAGGTTCTAGTCACTGTTGTTTGCCAAGAAATAAATATTTAGTTAAGGAATCAAATCCAAAAACATAATAGTAGTCTAAAAAAAACTCCCTTAGGCTTTGTGGAATGGTGTGGTCAGAGAAACTTAATCTAGGAGAGTTACCGTTAAGAGCAGAACGAAAAGGTTTAAATTCATTTTTGTAATTACTTTAACTCCTAAATTAGCACTTGACTTTTTTGTGTGTATGTGTGTCTCATCTTGCTGCACATGGGATCTTAGTTCTCCGATCAGGGATCAAACCTGTGCCCCCTGCAACAGAAACTCCAAGTCTTGACCACTGGACTGTCAGGGAAGTCCCAGCACTTGACTTTTTAAGTGTAATTTGGAAGCTCCTGTTGTTACTTATGAAAATAATTATTTTTTGTTTTACAGTGGGCAGATCAAACTAGCAGATTTTGGGCTTGCTCGACTCTATAATTCTGAAGAGAGGTGAGTCATTCATCAAAATTACATGTGGGAAATAGGAAAAAGTGCTTTTTATTCTTGGATATGCTAGTATTCTGTAAATTGCAGTAACTGAAGAGTTCCATAATTTTCTAAACGTGTTACCACCTAGATTTTAGACAATTCTTTCTGAATTCTTGAACCCACTTTAGACTGAAATAAATCAACCCAAATTGGAATGGAAGTTATTTCTTCATCTTCTGTCCAGTTTACTTTTGAACTGTTAGGTTGCTATGGAGCTGTTTTGATGATCCCATCTCCAGTTGACAGCTGTTTTAATTTGCATTTAATTATACAAGTATTTTTCATCAGCAACCATTGTAAATTTATGTCATGGTTGTATTTTACTTTTCAGCCGTCCTTATACAAACAAAGTTATTACTCTGTGGTACCGACCTCCAGAACTTCTGCTGGGAGAGGAGCGTTATACACCAGCGATAGATGTTTGGAGCTGTGGGTAAGAGTCCTTTCATCTTTTTTTTGTTTCTAACTGACATACTGATGAACTTGTGTCGTGTTTTATCTCTCCATTTGTTCTGTTTTTTGCGGCTCTTCTTTAAGTTCAAAAGGATAGGGATCAACTTTTAGCCAGAGTTCAAAGAAATCTGTTAAATATTTCTTAGTATCAGACACATAGTTTCAAATAAGATTCATAGATTGTAATTGATATCTCATCTTCTAATTTTAGATTCCCCCTCCATCTCTCTTAGGTCCCCCCTCCTTATAATTTTTTTTTTTTTAAGAAGAAATTGGTTTATTTGTCCTAAAGAGTTTGTCACCATCTAGACTTTGCTGATTGCATCCTTATGGTGATTTTTTTTAGCATAGTTCTCTTTTTATTTCCTATAAATTGTAGGTGAATTCAGGTCTGATTCCCAATACCCACTGACCCTGAAACTATTCTACAGGTGGTTTTGTGTACTTCTGACAGATCACATAGTCACTTGTGAATCCTAGTTGGGGGTAGGAAGCGGTGGGAGCCTCTTGTCCAGAGTACAGGCAATAACTGGGTGCATTATCTGTAGAAAATTTAAAAATGATTTTAAAAAAATCCATTACAAATTAGTCAGCTTTTTATTATCCTCTTACACAGGCAGTTCTAAACAATGTCTAGTAAAATATTCATCCCTATTGGAGTGAAGTTACATATATCACACACCATTTTATGTAATATGTAATTGTCTCGTTTGGAAGTGTTAGCTATTAGTGGTCTGCATCCATCAATTCATTTGGGTTTTTTGGTGGTATGATAGTCTAATCATTTCATTCTTTCTTGGAATAAAGAAAGGTTATCTATTTGGCTAACCTTGGGTACAAATGATATTGAAAAGGCTTAATTAGGAAGTTACCTGGCAGTCTGGTGGTTGAAACTCCACATTTTCACTGGTGAGAGCATGGGTTCAGCCCCTGGTCGGGGAGCTGAAATTCCACAAGCCGCCTGGGCGGGGCCAAAAAAAAACTTTTTTAAAGGGTTTTATTAAAGGTTTAAATCTTTCGTTTTATTTACCAGTTTTCAAAATAATAAGGTGGCTTACTGTTATCTTCCCAAAATGACCAAAGAGAGGTTGTTTGGGGTTTGATTTTTAGTCATTGTGGTCATTTGGTTTTAGTGTCATTATGAACTCATGGATTTAAACATATTTGACATGTTTTAATTCATTAGAGTTATCATCCTTATTCCTCTTCAAACTTCCCAGTCTTCAGTCATTGGGAGTTTATTCAGGTTAATTCTTGGGACCTTTTGACTCAGCCACAGGGGAACTGATAGCCTCTATTGTTTGCTGGTTCAGCCTCTATTGTTTGCTGGTTCTGGTCTCGTCTAGTTCATTTCCTGCCACAGATCTGGAATTGGCCGTTTCTCTGAAGGTGTCCTTTTAGTAGAAAATTATATTTAGAGACCACAGTTTGTATGTTAGGGGTATAGACATTTTAAATGGGTCATGTTAGTTAATTGTTTCTTAAGCAGTATTATTTATATATCCACACTGACCTTGACCTCCACACTTTAGGATTCTGACACATATACTTCACAGGGAGCATATCCCTTTTTTCCATCCTTTCTCTTCTCTATTAATGTCATTCTTCCAAAGGAGAACTACAGGGCTTTTATTTCAAAATTCAAAAGGGTGATGGAGAAAGAGCTTAATTTCTGTAGTAGCCTACCCAACTCTATGAAGCTTTAGTTAAATTTTACTGACTCAAGCTGGGCGTGTTTGTGTTCTGGACTATTTGCTTTAACAGTATTAGTGTTTTAAGTTGTCACACCTAGGCTCTAAAGTTAACGCCCCATTAAGGTGCACAGGGAAAGTTGATAGCTCTGTTGGTATTATTTCTGTGCAATCTACCACCTCAATGCAGTAGCCAAGTGTTGATTACATAACGATGTCTTCCTCACTGAAGGACTAGAAACTGAAAACACAAAAACACAGTTGAAAATTAAAATTGTAGAAAATTATGCTTTCTTTAAAAGCCCAGCGACTCATTGAATTGAGATTTTGTTTGACTTTTGACGTGCACGTAATATTTTGGAGATCCGTGGTAGTCTCTCTGAAGATGTTTTTGTGGGATGTTCTTGGCAGAATTAATCAATGGAGCAGAGCAGTTCAGTGTGAAAATCAAGGGAGAAACCACACAGACTAGTACAACACATTGTACCTAGAGTCTGTAAACTCAGCAGGGTTGTTCTTTCTGTGTTTTATTTTACCTGTTGTGATAACACTGTATTTGGAATTTGATTTGGCAGTTAATATTAGAAACAAATTTTGCTTACACTTTTCTTTCTCTGGATAAGTTTTGAGAGCCTATTGGAAGTAAGAATTTGAGGTTAACAAATGCCAAAAGAAAGTTGCTGATAACTTTAAAAGCTACGTTTGTTTGCTTTCTCAAATTTTGTCAAGCTAAAGAATTTCAAAGTTAAACTGTATTATAGTCGTCCCTGTATCCACAGCAGGGTTGGTTCTAGGACCCCCCTTCATGCAAAATCCTGGGGATGCTCAAGTGTGTTATATTAAATAGTGTAGCATTTACATATAGCCTGCACACACCCTCCCACCTATCCTCCACTATATTTTCAGTCATCTGATTGCTTATAATACCTAAACACTGTAAATGCTCCAATAGTTGCCAGCATGACAAATTTAAGTTTTGATTTTTTGAAGCTTTCTGGAAATTATTTTCTGAATATTTTCAGTTCATGGTTGGTTGAATCTGTGGATATGGTACTTAGAGATGCGGAGGGCTGTCTGTAAACACTGGTTTCAGGAGTATTTGTAAATAAATCTCATTTCAGAACACAGGCCAGAAAAGAGATTTGTTGTCCTTTTTTTTTCCCCTTCCTTTTTGAGAAAAATATTTCAGGTATAAAAAGTATAGAGTATTGATGTAATTTTTTTCATGTTTTAAATTTATTTTGAAATAATTAGAAAAGATACTAGGATAATACAAAGAATGTTAGTATAGCCTTTATTCAGATTTACTAATTTTTTTAACCTTTCAATTGAGATTTATAATAAACTGCATATATTTAACGTGTATAATTTAAGTTTTGACATTGGTGAAACCACCACCACAACCAAAGTAATGTGCCGCAAAATTATCCATGTGTTCCTTTGTAGTCCCTCTTTACTGTCCACGTCATCCCATTCCCCGCACCCACTCTTCTGCTGTCTTCTTTAGATTGATTTATATTTCTAGAATTTTGTGGTAAATAGAATCATAATGTAGATGTTCTTTTTTCACACTGGCAGCTTTTACTCAACATAATTATTTGAAGATCATTTATGTTAGTTTTACTGATTTTTAACTTGCCACATTTCCTTCTTTAAATAATTTTATTTGTTTATTTTTGGCTGTGCTGGGTCTTCTTGCTGCATGGGCTTTTCTCTAGGGGCTAGTCTCTAGTTGCAGTGCTTATGCTTCTCATTGTGGTGGTTTTTCTTGTTGCAGAGCATGGTCTCTAGATGCATATATGTATAATATATATATATATGTACTTATATGTAATATAACATACAGTATATTTCTAGAATAAAATGTATGTTTGTATAGGTATACTGTATATCTTTTTTTCAGGACCATTTCAAAGTAATTTTATATGGTAGTGATAGTGGTGTAGTTGCTAAATTGTGTCTAACTCTTGTGACCCCGTGGACTGTAGCCCGCCAGGCTCCTCTGTCCATGGGATTTCCCAGGCAAGAACACTGGAGTGGGTTGCCATTTCCTTCTCCAGTAGTTTTATATACTCACACACTAATTTTGTCAGTATGCTCATAATGTCCTGGCAACAATACCTCATGTAATAGAGGATCCAGTCTAGTAGCACATATTACATTTAGTTTTCATTCTTTAATCTGAAACAGTTACTTGGCTTTTTTTCGGTTTTGATTTTGGCTGAAATTTTAAGTTTAGTTAATTTAAAATATCAGGTATACAACATAATGATTCAAAATTTTTGTAGATTATACTCCATTTCAGGTTACTGTAAAATATTGACTGTATTCCTGTCCTTGTAGCTTATTTATTTTATACATAATCCCCTACCCCTATATTGCTCTTTTCCAGTTCCTTCTCCCCACTGGTAATCATTAGTTTTTTCCCTATATCTGTGAGTTTGTTTTGTTACATTCTTTCATTTGTTTTATTCTTTAAATTATACATATAAATGGTAATATACTGTATTTATCTGACTTATTTCACTTAAGCATAATACCCTCTAGGTCCATCCATGTTGCAGATGGCAGAATTTCATTCTTTTATATTTCAGAAGTGTTCTTTTTAAGGTATTACATTTGTACTCAAATGCACCCTGCTTGCCTTTATTCTGGTGATGTTACTTTGGTCACTTAGCTAAGGTGTTGCTTTTTTCACTACTAAATAGTTACTAGTTTTCCTTTTATAATTAATAAATAATTTATGGAGACTGTGTAAATATGTCATATAGTTTTGAAAGGCTTTTTCAAAATGGTGAAAGAATTTAAGCATAATATATTTGAAAGTTCTGTTGAAACTGATTCTGACTGATGACAATGAACTTTACAAATATAATGTCAAGAGGGCTGTATATAATGCCCATTCTGCAGAGCAGATGAAGAAAAAGGCTCATATTATTCTTACTGGAACTGCTCAGCATCTTTGTAAAATTGAAGTGTGGAGTTTTTTAGTGTTTAGCCATTTCCTTAATTTACAATGGAATTGGTAGAAAAGGCCTCTTGACTCCTGTTTTCTTTATTTTTTTGCCACACTATGTGACATGTAGGATCTTAGTTCCCCCACCAGGGATTGAGCACATGCCCCCTGCATTGGAAGCATAGAGTCTTAACCACTGGACTACCAGGAAAGTCCCTTGACTTCTTGTCTCTGCTTATAGACTGTCCTTTATAGGTGGCAAAAGTTTGATCTACCAGCAAATCTTAATCTTTAATATTATTTTCACCATAAGAAGTATTTTCTTTTACGAAAGTCAGGCCCTTAGTTTTGGGCTTTTTTAGTATATCAGATGCAACCTGATACACTATGAAAGTTTATTGAAATACACTTTATTTTTTTATTGAAATACACTTTAAATAAGCTCCAGGGATTTCTCTTCTGACCTCTCAACTTTATTCTTTCTAGATGCATTCTTGGGGAACTGTTCACAAAGAAGCCTATTTTTCAAGCCAATCTGGAACTGGCTCAGCTAGAACTGATCAGGTACAGCTGTGTATGTGCTCTGAGTGCCCAAGATTGATCAGTAATCTCATCCTCTGATTTCTAATACTTTTCATTCATTCTACTAAATGATTTATGCTCCTTATGTCCAAGTAAGTTTCTCTTCAGTCAGGTTTACCATATATTTTGTCATGGGCTGTATACAGAAAGTGTGTATGTATATATACACACACACACACATACTTATATATATAAGTAAGTGTATTTCACTTAATTTGCATAGTTTTTATTAGTTCTTCATGTAAAAGCATGCTGTTTTCAGAATAGTTGTTTATTATTTAGGTTAGATTAAGATCAACTTTATTCAGCAAACATTCATTGAGCCTATTTTCTAACAAATTCCTATCACTGTTAAACTTTAGGATTCAAAAATAGGTCCCTGCCTTCAAAGAACTCAGAGTTTAGTAAGTGATGCATCATGTAAACAGATAATTATAAAAGAGAGCCTTTAATAGAGGGTTTGGGTAAGGTCTGGGATTGGGATGAAATTTGAGTTTTGTTTTTTTGTTTTGTTTTGCAGTAAGATTAAAAGGAAGAATATGACAAGCTAATATAGACTTTATAAAAGGTGGTGTATAGCCCATTATGTGTTATGCACTAAACTCAGTTTTCCCTCAGAATTCCAGTCTTAAGCTCTCTTCTGCTAGTTTTCCCTACAAGGACATTATAGGACCAGTTCAGCTCTTTGAAGTTAATGCTAACTGAACAGAACAAAACTGGTAATGAAAATCTATGTGGGGCATTAAGAACATGTCTTACAAAGCCAAATGTGTGAATCACTTTGGACTATTGTGCCAGTATTTTCTCATTACTATTTTTTAACCGACTCCTCTGTCCTTAAAGCGGTGAGGTCAGGTTTTACCTCTCTGTATGCCTTTTAGTTTAATAAGCCAAAAGCCCCTATAACCTGAGGAGGTAATCATTTCTGCTTCTAGAATCTCTAAAATTTATAATGCTCACTCACTTCCTTGTTCTTGCTTTTTGCTTTGTTTTCAGTCGACTCTGTGGTAGCCCTTGTCCAGCTGTGTGGCCTGATGTTATCAAGCTGCCCTACTTCAATACAATGAAACCGAAGAAGCAATATAGACGGCGCCTACGAGAAGAATTCTCTTTGTGAGTTTGACACATATGTACATCTATTTGTTTATGTGTTTGGCTGTTGTTTGGACTTAGCTTTTTCCTGTCCTGGGGAGTTAGTGCTATCCTAGTTTATTATGCCAACACACTGTAGGAAAACAGTTTATTTTTGAGCATTTTGAGTTTTATCATAGTCTTGCATTCAAGGCTTCATGTTTTCTACCTGTGGTACTATTGCATTTCCTGAATCCTGTGTAGAAGCAAATCTGCTTTCTTATTTAGCCAGGTTCCAACTCCCTTCCCATGGTTTTTACATGGAGCTGGAAATTCAGAGACCTTTGGCATAAGGTTACAGGTTTAAGAACTGTGGAGTCATTGTGAACTTGTTCTTTTGTTCTTCCTTCTACAGCATTCCTTCAGCAGCACTTGATTTACTGGACCACATGCTGACGTTAGATCCTAGCAAACGTTGTACAGCTGAACAGACTCTACAGAGTGATTTCCTTAAAGATGTTGAGCTCAGCAAAATGGATCCTCCAGAGTAAGTGCTGGTGGCCTTGTAGTGACTCAACCTGAGAAACTCAAAATAATAGATTTTTTAAAAAAGAAGCTGCAGTGGCCAACCAAATCGAGAGGTGTCCTTGAGTATTATGGCTGATAGAAGTTTATTGCTTTGTGTTTTTAAACAAGGGACACATTTAGATATGGTGTTTGTTCTAACTGGATTAAGCTATTTGTCCCTGGAGCCCCAGCAGATTGCTCTGTAGAGCCTCTTTGACAGTATTCCTTCTAGTTTTTGCTTTTAAACATTTCATCTGTTTTAATTCCCTATATCTGCAATGATCATGTTATCCCATATGTGCAAGAACAGTCCTAATTTTATGTATTTATTTTTTTTAATATTTATTTGTCTGGCTGTACCAGGTCTTAGTTGTGGCATGTGGGATCTTTAGTTGTGGCATGAGAACTCCTGGTTGTGGCATGTGAGATCTAGTTTTCTGACCAGGGATTGAACCAGTAGTTTATCTATCAAACAGTGTGTCCTGAATTTTTATATAGAAAATATGGTCTCTGAATGTGTCTTCTATCAGAATCTTATTAATTTTCTCTATTATATGGGATCCTCAGAAGTTCTACACTCCCCATCTCACATTCTGATAGAAGCCTTTGATTTTCACTGACAGCATTATAACTTACACGTCAGAGTTTGTGGGCATTTCTTTCTTATAGGAACATTGTATCTTATGTATGAGATGTTAGTATATGAACAGATAATAACTACAAATCTGATAATCCAAAGAAATGTCCTAATTCATTTATTGTGTTTGAATTTTGATGCATTGAATGTGACTAAAGTATGTAAGTTTAGCAAAAATTGGAAATTTTGGCAGTGATAATCTGTGTTGTGGTAAGATTTAACTTACTAGAATTTATTGAGTATTGGAAAGTCCAAAAATGTATTAAACCTCACAAATGAAAATATTCAGTCATGGAAATTCAGTGGGCAGAAAGAAAAAAGAACAAGTTTTTTGGTCCATAGAGACCAAGTAACACATAAATTGATTTTATACAGAGATGGTTTAATTACAATGTGCTCATGTGGTTCCAAGATTTAAATTACTACCTTGCCTGGGCTTTTTGTAAATATTAAGAAGGCAGTCACCTTTGTTCTGTTTATTCCCTATTAAAACTTGACCAAGAGAAATAAAGTCTCCTTAATTTTTGTTATGCTAAGCACAATTATAAAACGTAACCACTTGACTGGAATATGGACATTTTTATAGAGCAGGTGTGTCTCTGTTATTAGCAAGATCTTCATTTCTCACTGTAGAAAGAAATCCTTTGGGCATTTGGATCTTTAGTTCCTCAGACTACCATATGCCATGATTCTATTTACACTGCTGCTGTTTACTAACTTTTCTGGTTATTTTTATATTTTCTTTATCCTTTCCATTTCCCCTTGCTCTTTGCCTTCCCATTTTAATCTCTTGTTCCTCCATTCACTCAGAAGTGCACATTCCCACACACATTTCCCCTTTTGTCTTTTTCCAGCCTTCCCCACTGGCAGGATTGCCATGAATTATGGAGTAAGAAACGGCGACGGCAGCGACAAAGTGGTGTTTTGGTAGAAGAGCCACCTCCACCCAAAGCCTCTCGAAAAGAAACTATCTCAGGGACAAGTGCTGAGCCTGTAAAGAACAGCAGCCCAGCACCACCTCTGCCTGCTCCTGGCAAGGTGGAACCTGGGGCTGGGGATGCAATAGGTCAGTGCTGGGAAGGAGCCTTTGTGCTTTTATTGAGCACTTGGCAGATATTGAAGGTCAAGTGTAAGGATTTGTGTCTGTGTGTGTGTGTTTTAATTTTTAGCCACTGAAGCATTAATAAAGAGTTTGATATCCTCATTATGTAAGGGGAAAAGGAGATAAGCCCAGTTTTGTACATGTGGTCTAGAAAACTTAAAATAGATTATTTCCCTATCCTGAAAACTAATATCTCAATTCAGTGTGGCATAAATTAGTGAATTAGGTAAGCTGAATTTAAAGATTAGTTTACCCATCGCTCCCTAACATATAATCAGAGCCCTGTCTGTGTTAGGTTTGATAAGACCTTAGAATTTAATCATGTTAAATCACAGTTGCTAAATGTAGTTAGTTCTGTAGACTGTTATTTGATCTAAATATATCCAAAACTGTGTAATAATGAATCTTTGTAAACAAAAAAGTAGCTCTCCTGTGGTACAACATTTTTTTCTGAATTACAACTTCCTTCCTTGGCTCACTTTTCCTTCATTGTCTATTTAAAACAGTGGCTTTCAATACTGGCTGCACATTATAATCATCTAAAAAGCTTTAAACATAAACACCTCCGAACAATTGCCAGATTTCTAGGGATAGGAGCTAAGGGTTCTGAATTTTAAAATCTCTCCTGATGTATACAGTAAGGGCTGAAAATCACTGACCTTGAAGAATATAGATAAAGTTACTTTTACTCACAATAGAGAGATATTTTAATTAGTCCCTGTATTTTTAAATGAAAATATAAAGAATAACAAATGTGTCACAATTGGAGGCATGAAAAATGAGACATTCAAAATGAAACTTCATTCATTGGATATTGCAAGTTGCTATTGTCAGTTGAAGAAGGCAAAGGTCCTTGCCTTGCCTCGCCTCATCCTCTTATATTGGTTCCACTGTCTCTCCACAGGCATCGGTGATATCACACAGCAGTTGAATCAAAGTGAATTGGCAGTGTTACTGAACCTGCTGCAGAGCCAAACGGACCTGAGCATTCCTCAAATGGCACAGCTGCTTAACATCCACTCCAACCCAGAGATGCAACAGCAGCTGGAGGCCCTGAACCAATCCATCAGTGCCCTAACGGCTGCCACTTCCCAACAGCAGGACTCAGAGCCAACAGCCCCAGAGGAATCTTTGAAGGAGATAGCCCCTGCCCCAGCAGTCCAACCTTCAGCAGAACAGACAACCCCTGAAGCTTCAAGCACACCAGCTGACATGCAGAATATGTTGGCAGTTCTCTTGAGTCAACTGATGAAAACCCAGGAGCCAGCAGGCAACCTGGAGGAAAACAACAGTGACAAGAACAGTGGGCCACAGGGGCCCCGAAGAACTCCCACAATGCCACAGGAGGAGGCAGCAGGTAAACAGACCGGTCATGAATCTCATTGAGCTCAGGTGCTGTTGATCCTCTTAAAAATCTCTAATGTTTTCTTTTTCACATCAGTGGCCTCAGTTTCAGTTTTTCTGTAACTTAGTCTACAGAACATAGCACCAAGTGATGTATTTCTTGCCCAACTTCTTTTATTTAAGTCTGAAAGCTTCTTAAAGCACCTTTCGTATACTGATTGTTTTTCCATTTTTCCCTTTCCTAGGAAGTAGGTAAGTAGAGTCCCTGTGTTCTCACACAAGAAAACCACAGCTGTAGCTACTGATGCATCTTGAACCACTGTGTGTGTGGTGGTCAACTAGTACTAGCACTTGAAAATCTGTCTTCCAAGCAAACCATTATCAGATTGTACAAATAGCCACTCGTACTCTAGAACAGTGGATGCTAGGTACTGGGTTCCTGGAAACATACAGTCAAGAAAGCCCTAATAAAATATCATTGTTAATCTCCCAAAGAATGATTTGAGAAGATTTCTAAGCAGATAATTAACACCGTATATTTCCTTTCCAAAAATAGCATATAAAAATGATTTCTTTAAATCTGTGTTCCTGAAGGATAAGTGAATGGACCCCAGATTAGGAACTGAACATTATTATTTTTTAAAAATCTGAAAAAAGAAAATATGTATACCTTGATCTTACATAAGCACAGCATGATTCAATTTATTTGAGGGAAAAGAAGTTTAAATTTTCTAGTCAATTCTGATTCACAGTCTTTATTTCTAAAATCTTTACTTATCTGTGTTTTCAACTCCTTGGAAATTTTTGCTGTCCATGAAGACCCCATGAACTGGGGAAATGAGAAGATGTACAAGGGCTGTTGGAGTACACTACCCTTCAATTTTTAGGGTGTTGCATTCACATTTCAAATCGGTTGGTCCAGAGTATATGCCTTATTTCCACTGGTACAGGATCAAATAAGTTATTGTATGTAAAGTTTAAAAAGAAAAAGATAACAAATAAATTATCCTCTTTACTGTGTGGATAAGGAAACTGCAATCTAGGGAATTTATATAAGCCTGCCTATGGTCCCACTGCTGGAACCATATTATTGGCAGAGGCAGGACTAGAATTCCTGTACTTTCTTAATAAATGTGTTTCTTAATTCACTTTGCTATTCTGTCATAACAGTTCCAATAGTTTTTAAGAGACTCTGGGATGTGGAATAACAGAGAAAGCAAATCTAGAATTAAAGCAGGTCTCTCTGTCTCATCTGTCATACTGTCCTCCCTCGTACCACCACCCACCCCCTCACCAACCAAAAAAAAAAAAATTCAACTATAATCAATAACTGAAAGAAGTTATTCAAGTTAAATGACATAGTGATTGAAAGAAATTCATCCAATAATTAAGTCAGCAAACTATCAGCCAAATGGTGAAAATGAACTAAAATTTAGGCCTGGCTCATGGCCAGAAATTACTGAATTTACTTTTCAGAGGAGAGTAAAAATGCCATCCCTAAGTATTCCAGTCACTTCTGGATTATCCAGTTGGTGACTCTCCTATGCCTCTATCTTGCTCCTGCTACCTCTTTTGTGGCTGTTTTGCTGTTCATCAGCACTTCCACCAGAGGGCAGACTGAATTAGCCAGAGAAGGTAAAAATCTATCACTTTGGCTACTATTTAGCTATTCTGTACTTGTTGAGAAATGGTTATGGTTGAATCTAATTAGTAAAATGAAATTTTCAGTTATTTGTATATTTCATTGATCTCTCTCACCATTGGTACAGACTGTTAAGGGTTGGCAATATTGTTAACACTTTGAATCTTATAACAGTATGTTTTTTTTTAATGTGATCTTTATTTTTAATTAAGATGTTTTATTAGCCTTTAATAGTTCTTTACAACCAGTCTGCCTTTGCTATTTTGAAATAGTTTTCGTTCTCTCATAAATGTGAAAGAATGTGAGCTCAAGAATTAGTTCTATTGAAATACAACTAAACTATTTGTATAAAAGGCAAAGTTTAAATATGAAATGTAGTATAGATGGAAGAAAATAAGTTTAGCTTTGTCCATTTTTGCAGTTAGGCATTTTTAAAGTTGTCTGCCCTTAGTATTAAAAAACAAAAACAAAAAACTGGTGTTCCATTTCATGTATAGACCAAAAACACTTTTAAAAATAACTGATACTGTGATGTTCTTATGTAGTGAGATGTATAGTATTGATAATGAAAAAGTCTGAAATCTATAGATATTTGTAGTCAGTTAGCTCTCCCTTTTTTGGATGTCTACTTTTCAAGTTGTGAGTGTTCTATAGCTAATTTTTCATCCTTTAATTTAGCTTTCTCTACCACCCAGTCAGCCAACCAGTCTGTTAACAAAAAATTGAGTGGGTACTGTATATAGGATGATCAGCTTGTCCCTGTACTGTCCTGGTTTTAAAACCGAAAGTTTTAAACCTGGGAACCTCCTTCAGTCTCAGGCAATTGGGACTCTTGGTCACCCTACTTGTATTTATGTTTAGCACCTGACCTTATTCTCCCACTGCTCAACAATTTTGTAGTATTTTCAGAATACTTTCATCTGCCCACTAAGGGTATGCTTACTTTATTGATTGTTTTTGCAAAATATAATTGTGGTATATATGCTACCAAAATACCTAATTGTTATAATTATAAAAACTACTTTTGGGTTGCCTGAGTAATGACTTTATATCACTGTCTCATAATAAAGAATTGATTATATGGACATTTAAAAATATGCTTCATTAGGGAACAGAAAAATCAGTCATTTGAAAGATATCCCAAAACTAAGTCTTTTCTTCAGCAAGGTGACTCCCAACTCTCTAAAGGCATGGTTCTGACTACTTGGTTTTGTGTGTCCTCAAACTCACACCATTTTACATTTCTAGTCTCTTGCCTTGGCAGGAGTTCATTATCAGACAATGATTGCCATGGTTAGGCAAATTAATCCAGTTGTGGGCAACAACATGTTTAGGGAGTGGTTCTAGTAAGACCTTTGGAAAGACAGAGTATAGTATTAGTTCAATACATTTCTAAATACTCTTGTCACTGTCTCCAAGATAAACAAATGTTTATCAACAGCCCATTCTGCATGACATTGCTGTAGTGACTTTTTATAATTACTGTAACATAGGAAGCTGAATGACAGTACGGTGGTTTTCTTCAGACTGTGATTATGGGGAGAAGGAACTCAAACTGGGAAAAGCAAGTGTATATGTATACATGATGGTAATGAAAGGTTTTTACTAATTTCATCTCACCTGTATATTCTTCTAGCTTTATTTTACGTGTTAACCTGATATCATCAAACATTCTGTAAAATGTGTTAGCTAAGTCCATACAAAGTTTCCTGTTGTACAGCAAGATTATGTCCTAGATGTGTGACCACAGCATATGTATTGTTCCCTCTCATCTTCCTTCTTTCTACTTTATTTTCATTAATGTTTTGATCCAACAGCAAAAAGGGGCGGGGAGGCTACCAACAGCCTACATATTAGAACAGTTCCTTAAGGAAGGAAATGGAGATCTCAGACAAAAATCAGGACAATCATTTGAAATACATGATTTTAACACCAGCTGTTAGATCCAGAATGCAACTGTTTTACTTTTAATCACTTGATTTTATTTATAAATTGCAATTTCCTGATCCCAAGGTTTTTTGCTTTATATATATTTGGTTACTTGTATTGATATTTGTTTATGTTGGGCAGTGTGTGTGTGTGTGTTTGTGTTTATAATCACATGTGATTTTTAAGATGGTGTTTAAAAAAAGTAACCCTTCCACAGCATGTCCTCCTCACATTCTTCCACCAGAGAAGAGGCCCCCTGAGCCCCCCGGACCTCCACCGCCGCCACCTCCACCCCCTCTGGTTGAAGGCGATCTTTCCAGCGCCCCCCAGGAGTTGAACCCAGCCGTGACAGCCGCCTTGCTGCAACTTTTATCCCAGCCTGAAGCAGAGCCTCCTGGCCACCTGCCACATGAGCACCAGGCCTTGAGATCAATGGATTACTCCACCCGACCCCATCCCAACAGGACTTACGGAAACACTGACGGGCCTGAAACAGGGTTCAGTGCCACTGACACTGATGAACGCAACTCTGGTCCAGCTTTGACAGAATCTTTGGCCCAGACCCTGGTGAAGAACAGGACCTTCTCGGGCTCTGTGAGCCACCTTGGGGAGTCCAGCAGTTACCAGGGCACAGGGTCAGTGCAGTTCCCAGGGGACCAGGACCTCCGTTTTGCCAGGGTCCCCTTAGCATTACACTCAGTGGTCGGGCAACCATTCCTGAAGGCTGAGGGAAGCAGCAACTCTGTGGTACATGCAGAGACCAAATTGCAAAACTATGGGGAGCTGGGGCCAGGAACCACTGGGACCAGCAGCTCAGGAGCAAGCCTTAACTGGGGGGCCTCAGCTCAGTCTTCTGCTTATGGCAAAGTGTATCGGGGGCCTACAAGAGTCCCTCCAAGAGGGGGAAGAGGGAGAGGAGTTCCTTACTAACCTAGAGACTTCAGAGTCCTGAAAGATTCCTTCCCTATCCATTCTTCCATCCAGTCCTCTGAACCTTTAATGAAATCATTTGCCAGAGCGAGGTAATCATCTGCATTTGGCTACTGCAAAGCTATCTGTTGTATTCCTTGCTCACTTGCTCCTAGCAAGCGACTTATATAGTGATGTGGCACCAGTTCCCCCTGGATGGGATGTAGTCAGAATACTTACTTCAGCTCTACCTAGTGAATACAAGTAGAGAATATGGAGAGGGTCATTAAATTGAAAAGTAAATGTTTAATTAGTTCATTTCCTGCACTTCTTGAGCAGAAGAAAGAAACAGTTTCAATTTTGAGATGGCTCAGGAGAGGTTCTTAAAGTTTGTGTTTTTTTTAATGGTTTCTTTTGAATTTAGTTTTTTTGGTTTCTTTTGTTTTTGGTTTTTGGTTTTTTGTTTTTTAAAGAGAATAGTGTTCACAGAATTTGAGCTGCTCTTAGGCTTTTGCTTTAAGGGAAACAGAGCGACTGGCTGGTTTAAATAAATGTTTCCTTCCTCTCCACCATCTCACATTTTTGCTTTCAAGTGAACTCTTTTTTTACCCATTGAGCATCTTGAACATACCTTTTTTCCAAATAAATTGCTCATTCTTAAAGTTTGCTCCACTTTGAGAAAAGATATGCCCCCCCTCTCCCTGCACGTGAAGCAGGTTGTAGAAAGTGGCATTCTTGGGCAAGTAGGTAGACTTTATCCCATCTCTTTACCTTTTTTATTCCATCTTTATAGACTTCTCTTTCTCTCTGTCTCTCTCTTTTTGAGGCATTTGTTTGGAAAAAAAAATTAATTGTTGAGATGCCCAAGAACCTGGGATAATTCTTTACTTTTTTTGAAATAAAGGAAAGGAAATTCAAACTCCTATATTGTTCTCTGTAAATCTTCAATTCTAAATTTTTTTTTTTTTAAAACCATGTTCTGATGGTGAAGTTGATTTGTAGATGCAAACAGCCTAGGACATTGCTGCTGAGGTAGGGTTAGAGATGATACCTCCATACCTGGAGGGTTAGTAACATCAGTTAGCATACTGTTTACACATATTTTTTTATGTCAAAAAAAACCTTTGAAACAGAGCATTGTAATATTGTCAAAGAGGAAAAAAAATACATCCTGAAAATTCATGGAAATGTAACTTAGTTTAGGGTGAATATTTTTCTGAAGATATATCACTACCTGAGACCTTTTTAAAACAAATAATTTTAAAAGAGTATCCCATAAGAAAGAACAGTATTGACATACACACATATCAGCATGAATATCCTGCCAATTCTTTTAAAGATTTTCCTCCAGAGAGATTTGGTTTTGGTTTTGGTGAAAGGGGTTAAATTATGACTTCGTTTCAAGAATTTTGCTTTATTATTATCAGAAAATGAAAGAGGGGAAGACTTTCAGGGTGGGATAACCTGGGAGGTTTCTCATTCTGGCTTCCAGTTCTGTGTGAGTACCAGCATATAATGTGTTTTTAAAACATACACATTTATAGAAATTATCTGCACAGACCTAGATGCTTGTGAAATGTAGGTTAGCCCCCCTTTACAAAGAAAAGGCAAATATATTTCAGCATCTTGGAGAATAGTTTACAGAACTCAAAGTTTTATGTTTCAATGCCAAGTTCATATATTAAAAAATAAACACTACTTGTGAGAGAGAGATGCGTTAATAAAAAAAAAAGAAGTTAAAGAAGAATCCTCTTCTGATACTTACATGAAGACTATTTTCCCCTGTTAACTGAAATAGGCAGATATCTGGTGTGTGTATTTCTTTATTATCCTCTGGGTTTTGGTCTGGCCTTGCTCTCAGGGCCAATCATTGATTAAAAAGAGAAACTTCTAGCCATTTTGGCATTGATGGCTTTTTATACCGGTGAGTCCAGTTAGATTTGCTAGACTCACTGACACACTGTTGGTAAATTGCATTAAAGTTCATCTGAACCTTTTGTCTGCTGACTTAGTCCTCAGACCTGGGCCTTTGTACTTTAGAATATTTGAATTAAAGACATTGGACCCAACTCTCCCATTTTTGACTAGAGAACTTAAGCCTGGATCCTTTCAAAAGTATCCAATGAGAAAAATTGGTTTCCCATCAAATATGAATAAAATCTCTCTATATTTTAATTGTATTTTGGGTATCAGCAGTCATCAATAATATTTTTCCCTCCCCACTCATTTTTAATTATGCCAAATATTCTAAATAATATACTTAAGTCTCCATTCCCCTATCCCTTCTATTAGGGAAGGGGGTGAGTGTGTGTGGTATGTGTGGTGTGTGTTTGTGTATGTATGATCCCATTTCAACCCCCATCCCCATTTTGGGAGCTTAACCTTTAAAAAGAAAAGGTCTGGCAATTTTGACTATTTCTAAAGGCAAAGGGACAAAGAAACTCAAATATCCTGGAATATCTGTGTGGAGGAAGAAAAGGTATTTTGTTAATTTTTCAGCTATGTTATCTATAAATGTGATGGAAGTAAAGGTTTGGCAGAATTTCTACTTAGGTATTAGAAAATTACAAACCCAATTATATTCAAAAGTGGTTTTGGTTTTAATTATTGAACCATGGGAGATATTAAGTCCATTAAACACATTATTTTGAACAGATGAGAAATCTGATTCTGTTCACCAGTGAGAGAGGCAAAACTGGTTTGAACATGATCATTTTTGTGGTTTTGAAGACAAATTTGTTTGACCCAGTTTCTTTAGTTTCTTCTTCAACTGTCCATTGGAATGATAAGAATTTGAAAACAACATCAAATCTATACATTTAAAAGCAGGGCAGTTAGCACAAACTTGTAAGTAGGACTTCTTTTAGCTTATGCCATAGACATCACCCAAACCACTTGTGTGTGTGTGTGTGTGTGTGTGTAATATGCATATATAGTTACAGTACTAAAATGGTTACCAGCAGGTTTTGAGAGAGAATGCTGCATCAGAAAAGTGTCAGTTGCGACCTCATTCTCCCTGATTAGGTTACTGACACTGTGTTCCTTTCTCTCTCTTTGTTTTGCCTCCCATTGGGTTTACTTTGTTTATGTACAGATATTTTGTAATATATTAAATTTTTTCTTTCAGTTTATAAAAATGGAAAGTGGAGATTGGAAAATTAAATATTTCCTGTTACTATACCACTTTTGCTCCATTGCATTTACTTCTTAATTTGTACCCTTTGAGCAGATCTAATTATATGTATAAAGGGCATTTTTCCTCCACTTTATCCTAGGGGTGCTTTGTCTAAGAATCTCTGTAGACTCATAGACTACCAGAAAAAGAAGTTCTTAGGGTTTGAAGAGGTGCTTCAAAACATTATACTGGGAATTAGAAAATAAGAATTGGGGGAAACCATAAGATGTGATTTTCTAAAGTAGAAAACCATTGTACAAAAGTAGTGATGGTGCCAGGCCATCAAAAGAGTTGAGCTTCATGTACCCTGACTCCTTCTGAAAGGAGAGGTAAGTGGGTTTGAGCTCAACCGTCATCAAGAGAAGTTGGTATGAGGTTGTTTAGACCAAAAAATAGTCTCCTCAATTAGAGACCCTCATCCCCACACCAGTTCCTGTGTTGCCATGAGTAGGGTCAGCATGGGGATGGATTAGTATTCCCAGCTCTGTTGAGATTTCCTGATACATTGCCAATCCAGGAAGTAAGTCAAAATTGTTGATAGGGGTAAAATTCCTGTTATTTCCAAAACTTTTCCTGTCTCCAACTGAGGAGAAAATTGCTTTCCCTTCTTCATGGTCTAAGACACAGAAGACTAAACTTTGTAATGTCTGTTGCAGTCCTGCTAGTTAAGACATAAGTAGACAGAGGACAGGGGAAAAAAAGTAGCAGGAGACAAGAAGAGGGGACATAGGTATCAGGAAGTTGTGTGTGGAATAAGCAATCATACAAGATTAAGGAGTAGAGCAGAACAAAGAAATTAGAAAGAAATCGAATTCAAAAACGTGATGATGAGGATTGCCAGTGTATTTTTGGATCCCCACAGTTTAAGTATGATGTTCCCTTGCCTGTGGGCTGTCGTATCTTTACCCAAGGAGAATGGAGAGCTCAAGATTGTTCCAGTTCTGGAGTCTTGTGTTTCTTGTTAGTCTCCAGAGAAAAGGAATTCGTTTTCAATCTATTTATATTGCAAGTTCATGACTAGGAGTGTGAACTTCAACGTAATAGAGAATATTATTTCCACGTCATAGGAATGACCGTCTTTGATTCTGGGCCTGAAAGCTGAGGACCTATCTAAGGTGGACTTTTTTCTCCATTGCACTCAAGGCTATTTCTAAGTAGGAACCATAAGGTTCAGTACCTAAATTTCTTAGGCACTGTCTTTTCCAAGATAGGCATCCTTAACTGGTGGTAAGGTTAATGCCTCAAGTAAGTTAACAGTTCTTTGTGCTGAACTGGGATTTTCGTTGTTATTAAAGATTGCCCCGTAGCTTGACTTTTTCTTTTCTTTTTTTTTAAAGGTTTTGCATTACTTCTCTGTTCACAATTTAGTCATCCTGAAGGGCTAGGGGAAATGGATGTGGGGAGTTCCTCAAGCGAGTAAATATTCAAACATTCCAAAGGAGAAATGAACTGCTAAGTCTTCTGGTTATCTTGAGAGGCAAGGTGAGCATTCCTGGACACTTTGGTTAATTTTTCTGTCCAGGTGTGGCATTTCTAGTGTTCCTATATAGCCTTAGGAATACTCAAGTGAGAGTTTACTCCAAGCCAGTTGGGGGAAGTCTGACACCACGGAATCACTGGTGGTACTCTTACCACACCTCTCACCATGTGCAGCTAGCTCTCCATCTCCTGTCCATCCACTTCATTTCCTGTCTTTCTTTTCTCCACTCACTTCCCAATTCTCATGCTTTAGTCCTGCCAGAGATATTAATTGCTTAATCCTGCAAGGAATTTAGAATTACTGCTGCTTTGTAGTTTTGAAGGGTAGTGAGAAGCAATTCAGGAGACAAACTTAATGGGGTGAGAG